AGCGTGCCTGAAGGGCCGCCGGGTTGGGGGGTCCCGACATACCCCCCAATTACTTATCAATCATGGGCTGGTCTAAATTAATCGTTACCTGCGGCGGGTCGGTAACGTCGCGCCGGCATGGGGGGGTTGTGGTCCCAGGCCCCCCCAGGTCGTCATCAAGTGATGGGCCACGGGATGACTTCCAAGCCGGCGCGTCTGCGGCGGGCGCGCCGGTGGCTAGGGCTACCGCCGTGGAAGATTCGCCTCAAGGTCGCAGCCTTCGTGCTGTCTCGGTTAGGCTGGTTAGGTGCGACGAAATACCCACGCCGGGTCGAGTGAGGCGAAGTACAGGAGGAATCGGTATAGGGTTCGCGTCCGTGTCCGCGTCCGCGATCGCGAATTGTGATTGCTCGCTCGTAATGTCCCCTGAAATAGCTTCGGTCGTTTCCTCTCCATTGGTAAGGTCCACGGGCATTAGGGTTATGCAGCTGAACATGAGGCGTTCAGCTGTGGTTAGTGGCGAAGTCCGTCAGCTCGTAGCCGAGAAGCGGCTGGACGTCCTGCTCTTGCAGGAAATGCACGTCCGGAAGCAAGGCTCGAGCTTCGCCATTCTCGGTTTAGGGCAGGGAACGAGGGTGGCCGCTGCACGCTCGGAACGTCCGTGGGCTGCAGTGGCAGTTTCAAACCCCTCGTTCCATATCATGGAGATCTCGCAGCTCAGCACCGCGCACTGTGCGTGCGCGGAAGTGCGGGCGCCCGGCTTCTCTTTCTACGTCGCATCGTGCTACTTCCAGTACAGCGACGAGATTGAGGGGCACCTCAGGCACCTCGAGGCGGTGTTTCATTCGCTGAGGGGGAAGAGATTGTTGATAGGCATGGACGCCAACGCGCGATCCCCGATGTGGGGTGACCGCATGGTAAACGATAGGGGCGCGAAGCTCGAGGAATTCATCCGCGCTTGCGGATGGAAAATCCTCAACGCTCTCGGACAGTCGCCGACCTATTGGACGTCATGGGGATCGTCACATATTGACGTGACCCTGGCGACTCCGGCCATGAGCCAATTCTTCGGCGAATGGAAGGTCAGGTGCGACTGGACGACGAGCGACCACAGTGCCCTGGACATCCGTCTGAGGGTGCCGAGAGTCAGAGGCAATGACCGGCCTACCTCCAGCTCTCGGTTCGACGCGAGTCGTGCCGACTGGGAGAAGTACGCCGATAGCCTCATCGACCTTTCGGCGTCGAGACTTGAGGTCCTCAGTTTGGATTCCGCTGGGAGGGTGGAGGGCTTCGCGAAGTCCATTTCTCAGGTCTTGTTCGAAGCCTCGGAACGGGCAATGCCCAGGAAGAGCT